ATACCGACCCAAAACCTCTACACTGCAAAGTCTACAGAAATGCTTCCACACACAGGTGCATTCAAGACTGACCACCGATAAGCAAACAAAGGGCAAGCTTTGGGAGGATCTTTCACATTTCCTAAGAGTTTTTATGTACAGTATTTTGCTTAGTCCTCACAGTAACTCTCTGAGTTTGACTCGGAAGCATCTCCACTTCACCACCTACAAAGCCTACTCTGCACCAGGTTCTATTCAAGTACTTAAGAGAACAACATGAACGGCATTCCTGTAGCCAGCAGATTTAATCAGTGAAGAAACGGAGCAGAGCATTGGTGATGGTCTGTAAGCTTTTCCCCTAGATGCCACAAATCTATCTTTGGACTCAAAGGCAAACAAACAAACAAACAAACAAACAAAACCTAATGTTTTAAATCTTTTTATTAGGCTACCTCTGAACCAAATAGATCAAATTAGCCAAGAGAGAAATACATTTTTGTTGAAAGCTGTTTTCCAAGGCACTCTGAATTTCATACCAGAAAAACAGTTTATCAGATAACTCAGTTCTAAAAGCACCTGCCCACTAAACCAAGGCTTCTAGACCACTGATTTTATTTTCTTTAGAGCAATGCTAAAGAAACTTGCATTAAATCAGTGAGTTTTTCATCTTCAATGTGTAACGTGCTCAGAAGACATCATCTGCCTTCCAGAAGAGAACACAGGGCACACTAAAAACTGGGGATTTTTGGGGGGCCATCTAGAGAACAGGGCTTTCTAACAAAAGCCACAGTGTCATTCGGAAAGGACAGTCTTTCTCCACTATGTTTGCTATAAAAGAAACTGAGCTCATCTTGGAGAGACTGAGGTAAACATGTTTTGGTGAAAGTCCATCGTAGAGGTCCATCTCTTTCCCACTACATCACCTCAGAAGATCCCATTTCATGTCGCCTCTGTACAACGGCGACTAAAATGATGAGGATTTGTGATAGGACTAAGGTGACAGTCCCCACCGCTCTCCATTGTGGGTAGAACATTTTCCATGTTGTTATCAAACAGCTGTGGAGCAATGCTTTGATAATGGGAACCTACACCCTGACTTTGAACAGTGCTTCGCCCAATGGCTCTGACACCCATTGATGTTCCTTGTCTGAGTCAGCTACCCACTGCAGCCTGCAAAACAGTAAGTTTTCTAGTTCTCCATTCCTTATAAATTCCCTCAAAAGAAAAAAAAATCCGAGTGAATGTTCAGTTCTTCAGCATTAGTGTCCAAAGTCCTGTGATCCTGTGGGATGGTGAAATAGTCTATCTCAAAGTGGCAGCCTGGGTTTTACTCTCTCTCTCTCTCTCTCTCTCTCTCTCTCTCTCTCTCTCTCTCTCTCTGTCTCTGTCTCTACCTCTCTTCCCATCATTCATCCACTCATTCATATATTATTATTATTGGTTCTTTGTGTATTTCACACCATACCCCCAATCCTACTCATCTCCCTCTCCCCTCTTACCCGCCCTCTACACTTGTCATCCTCACAAAGAGAAAAAAAAAATCACTGTAGAAGCTGCAGTGTGTCACAGTGTGTCTCACAGTATACCCCTTTGTCCAGACTTCTTTGCTTGCAAATGTTCATTGTAATAAGTTGTTGGTCTGGTATGCTGATCTGGTATAAAGCTTCTGGTTTTTGCTACACTATCAATACTGGAACCTCACTGGGACTCTTCTCAGACATCCTTTCGTCACCCTGTTTTGCGAAGATCCTGTAATTTTGGATCTGTGGGACTGGACACTCTAGCAGTTCTTAGATGGGGTAGATACTGGGCTTGGCCAATTCAAAGCCCTAGATCTGGGCCCAAGAGGTATCTGAGCTGGTCAGCCCTCCAGCTCACCTGCTCCCACATCATCAGGGTGAGTTCTCCTGCCCTGCACTGGCTGGCCCATCAAATGCTGCCACCAGCAATGGGCAGAGACAGCTCTCCTGTTCTAATGTCATCAGGGCTGGCTCATCTGCACCTGCGCCATTAAGGACAGCTCTACTGAGCAGGCCAGGCAAAGTGTAGGGCCTTTTTTCCCCGAGTAATGCAACAGGCAAGGGTCAAGACTGATTCTCTCACTCTCATGACCCAGGGGCCAGCTCTTCTGCCAGGCACAGGTGGTAAGGGACAAGGGAGAGGAGGACGGAGTCTTTCCCTCATCCTTACCACTGCACAGCAAACAAGAGTCAGGGTTGGCTCTCCTGTGTTCCCACCCTCTGGCCAGCTCACCCACAATTCCCACATCCAGGGCCTGCTCTACTGTGCTGCCTGGGCTGGGCAAGGTGCAGGGCTGGCTCTTTCTAGTGCTGCAGCAGGTGAGGAGCAGGGCCAGCTCTCCTGTTCTCATGACCCCAGGGCCACCTCCTACCTCCCCGGATGCAGTTGGTGAGGGCAAAAGGGAGGGGACGGGATCTCTCTCGTGTTGATTCCACCACACAGCAGACAAGAGCAGACAAGGACATACTTAATGCCCTTGGGATTGACTGACAAGCAAACCCCACATTCAGGGTCAAAATCTACTATGTTGTTCAGATGAGGTGCAGGGCATAGTCTCCTGCTGCTGTGGGTGAGGGGCAGGGCCAGATATCCTACTCTGATAGCCTCAGGGCCAGCTCTCCTGCCTGCTGTAGATGGCAAGAGGTGCAAGGAAGGAAGCATCTCTCCCTTGCCCGTGTCATGGAAAGACAGACAAGTAGTGGTACCAGCTCTCCTATGCTCACACCCTCGCCCCTGACTCCATGATCAGCTCTACTGAGCTGCTTGGGCAAAGTGCAGGGCCAGGTCTCCCATCTGTTGCAGGTGGTAGGGGAGAGCTGGGAGGAGGGCATCTCTCCCTCACCCATGCCACTGCATATGAAACAAGTGGCAAGGCCAGCTCTCCCATGCTCATATCTGGGGGATGACTCATCTAAAATTTCTGAAACCATGGCCAGCTCTATTGGGCAATATGGAGTGTTCTTTCAGGTACTGCAGCTGGCTAGAAGCAGGGTCAGCTCTCCTGCTTTCATGCCTCCAGGACCAGCTCTCCCACCACGCCCAGATGAGGGGCAGTTCTGCACAACCATCAGACACCAATTTGTCTCCGGGCTACAAGACGAGGAATGTCCACTTGGTCTTTGGTGGTAACAGACTCCTGCTGCTGCAGGACCATGGACCCAGATGTGACCCCAGTGGCAGTACAGGCCAGGACTCCACCATGGTCCTAGATGGCATAACCAGCTACTCACATCAGACTGTTCCTCACTACCCTCCAGTCTCCAGATCTTCATTGTGCCCACATCCTTCTGTTCCTCATTCTCTTCCATTTCTGTACCACTTACTTGCTTCTCTTTGTGGGACCCAGCATTCCTTAGTGTCTGGAGTCATCTCAGGACAGTTCTCAGGAGTGCTATGTCCCATCCATGCGTTTTGGAATCAATCAGGGATCATCTGAAGCATGGTCTGCTCCCCCAGGCCTGTGCAATTCTAGGCTGGTGTTCCCCTCCTGCTAGCACCCTGTCTGGGACCGTTGTGGGCATCTCCAGCTCACTTTTTTTAGGGAGTGTTAGGCTACTCATCATTCAGATGCTCACAGGTGAGAACACTGACGGTAGACGTTGCTTCTTTCTTCTCTGTCACCTACTGACACACATGTGACACAGTAACCATACCTGCAAGTCCTCTAGAGACAGGTTTAAGTCTTTCTCTTATTCTCTCTCCCTTCATTCTCTCTTCTCCCCCGTGGAGTCATAGATTATTATTCACACACATAATTTTCTCTGATGGTCAAATCAAGCTTTAGTCAGTGGGTCTTTCAAGTGCCCCCAGGCTATGCACAATATGACCTCCTTATTTTCCAAAAAGATTCTCTGGGATCAGCATAAGCCCAGCCTCTCCTCTAAGACCTTGGTTAATTTTATTTAGAAGCTGAGGTCTACACTTTGCATTGTGCTTACAGCTTCTGAGACATTCTCAGTGGATAACTAAGGAATATCTTTTATAGAACATTGGATCCCTACGGAGGGTCAGAGCACAATGGGCAACGACAATAGAAGACATCACTATCAATGACCTTATGAAAATAAGGCTCTGGAAAACAACATCACTTAGCTCTTAAATACCAAAACTGGGTCTTAAACCAGGCCTGTAGCTTCCAAGTCTTCAGCTAAGCTATCTGTAGAAGAAACTTCCACAGTGCGTGTGTTCTCCAAGTACCTTTATATGCTTGGAAATTTTCCATAATGGTGATTCCTTATTCTTCTGGTTAGATACTAGATTTTGTTATTTTAATACCCCTGATAGGTGCACATGTGGCCAAGTATTTGATTGCAGTAAGACTTCAATTTGAAAACTAGTATAAATATGTGTTTACTATTCAAATTTTATTTTGATTGTGGTTAATGTACAGATCTTTGGTAGTAGGGACCCTGGAGAAGGGTTTCTGGCATATACTGCCTGGAATCCAAAGTACAAACAATGTGATCTCCCAGTAGCAAAAAACAAACAAAAACAAAAAACCCCGAAAAACAAAACAAAAAAAACAAATGACAAAAACAAAACAAAAAACCCTAACCATCCAAACAAACAAGAAAACAAAAACAATGAGGTATTTGCTAAAGCAATCCTTCAGCGTACAATGGTCAGTTTCTGGTTGTATATTCTCCAAACCTGAATGTTTTCCTCTTAGTTACCGTATTTCTATGCTTGAAATAGACATTTAACTACCTCAGCTGTGTATGGCTCTTTACTTTGGCTGGTGAAGGATGCTGCTTTCCCCCAGTGTTTCCTGGCAGACTGGTGGGCCCCAAATGGGAAGTATGTATGTCATGGATTCAGATCATTTCTGAGCTAAGTTATAGCTCTGTATTCAGCTGCCCCCACCTTAAGTGAGTGGCTCTTGCAGTAAATTCTTACAGTCATGACTCTTAACCTTCTGTCATCAGTCTGATGAAAGTGAAGGAGTCGGACAGATTTGCCACTGCAAGAGGGAAAAGGATGCCAGCGTCTGGGAAGTCAGTGTTATCCATAGCTGTGAAGAGCTGGCTTTGAGCCACAGTAAAGATGCTGTCGTGTGAACACCACTTAATGCTCACTGTTTCATCATTTCCCCAACATTTATGGGAAGTGATTTATGGTCTAGAAAGAACAAGTGACAGATTACAAAAGAAGGTATTAATTTTTATCTTAATATAGAAACCGCAAGGTTAGACTTCTTGTTGAGCAGACACTTAGAGAACAAGAACCAGGGGATGCATCTAGCTTAGAAGATTCTAGAAAGAAATTACTACTTTTAATAAGCAACGAGCCTATAATTCTTCTCTTCTAGTTTTAAATTTGCCTGTTAGAGAAACAAGGGTTCTGCTGTCCTGACCTTCTGAATGTAGATTCTTGGACTTGCAATGGCTGTCAACACTACATGATGTAAATCCCAGGTCTCTTAGACTTATTGCTGCTGAATGTCTAGAGCTCGCCTCACTAGGTGGATAGAAAGATGCTGGGGAGCTCCTTGATGGAGCATCTGGCCTCATTTTGTATCAGAACGTTTTTCCTGGAGTGGAAGCTAACCTGAAGAGAAAGGAACCAAGTTTTCTGAGACCTTCTTCATGTATTTTGGGTGTGAGTGAAGAAGCTAGAGGCCCAACCTAGGCTTCTGTGAATAGACGGAAGGTTTGAGGCTTCCTTCATAGCAAATAGGACACAGAGAACATCCTTGTTTTCCAGGTAAGCTTGAGACTGACCTTTGAACAACATGATAGAAGCAAAAGTCAACAAATTGCTTTTGGTTTCTCCAAAACTGAACTATTAATAGTTTGTCTCTGGCCAGGAGTCTTACACAGAGCATAAACACTCAGTTATACATATTTACTATATTACTCATAGTTTTGTATAATGAGAATACAAAAAGGAACTGAGACTCAACTTTTTGAATGTCAGCTGCGATTTACCAGACAGACAAGCTGCCTCAAATGAGACAAGTCAGAGTCACATCATTTACCACAGGAAGAGAAGGCAGCTATGAAGTGGTTATAGTACCAAAGTCTTAACCACTGTTGGCTTTTCAGGTAGGATTTAAAATGACATCTTTGCAGATGTTTATATTTCTGTTTATGGAAAATGGCAGCATGTATACATAAAATGTGTTTGGGTGGGTAAGTTCTGATCAACTTTAACTGTTTTGAAAGATAAAATGGTGTATATTTGAAGGCAGGAAATGGTGAAACATGATTAGTATATAGATATATTTTTGGTATTCTTGACATATCTAACTTCAATTGTTTCCCAATATTTTAGGCTATGACATGCATCTGCAGTGATTTTCAAGCTGTCTTATGTCTCTAGGAAAGAAGAATGAGCATTAATGGAACTTCGCAGTTCAAAAGTGTGCTATTAAAAAAATCAATTATTGTTGGAAATATATAGAGACAAAGAAATACATGAATTGGAAAGAAGATCATAATCCCCCCAAGCACCAGTTTAAGATGGTGAGGGGAAGGTCTAGCTTTAATGAGGAGACACAGATAACCTGCCCCATGCAATACTCCTGTTTCATACAATGTGAACTTATTGAGGAGTGAGTTGTTGGCTTCTTTCAGTTTTCACTCTTGGTTAGAAGAAAGAGAGTAAGTAAAGACAATGTGTTCTTCCTTACGTGATGTTCTTTCAGGTCTGGGTGCAGCCTGTAGGGTTATTGGTTTTTGTTTGTTTTAGCTTTTCCTCTCAAAATATGTTTACTATTCACCCCAGTTTCTTGATAAACTAAGAAAACAGGATAGGAAGCATCCAAATACTATTTGACACAGTTCTCAAGCTACTGAATCTTAGGAATCATTCCATAATATTTAGATGCTGCCCTTACCAACGGCAAGCCTTCAAACAAGAGAACCTTCCCCTAAACAGAGGCTAGAGATTCCAAACACTTTATTATTCTCCTTGTGAACAGTTAGAAAACATCAATATACTCATGTCAAAATTAAATTGTGGTTCCCTTGAGCCCAACAAAGATTACCTACTCATTTTTAAATAAAAAACTAGCGATAATATCACATTATTAAATAACAGTAAGGGATCTAACAAAATTCTTGTTCTTTTTTTAATCCATTAAAAACTATTTTAATGCTTATCTTTTAGCGTTTATTGTGTTTTGTTCATTTTCTGAATAGTTCATACTTTTATACAATGCACTTTGATCATCTCTACCTGCTATCACCTCCTCCTAACTCCCATAATGCCCCATTCTCCATTTCTTTTTTTAAGTTTATGTTCTTGTTAAAAACAAAACAATGTCCCTGGTCTACAGAGTGAGTTCCAAGACAGCCAGGACTATACAGAGAGACCCTGTCTCAAAAAACAAAAACAACCCCCCCCCAAAAAAAGTCATCAATCTCCTGAAGGCAATTAGCATTGTCTATTTGCTCATAGATGTAGAGCCATCAAGTGGAACATGGACAACCTTCCAATGACCATGAACTCAAAGGAGAGTGACTCTTGCTTCTCTTAGAAGCCATCTTGCTTCTCTTAGAAGCCATCAACTTCGAGTGATTCTTCCACCACGTAATTCTCCCTCAGCCATGATGGAGTTTTGACTGGATTGATCTTGTGTAGATATTGTACAGGTAACCACAGACATTGTGGGTTAACATCTATAATAAGCAAATCATGTCTAGAAGTCAGCATTTAATAACACATCTCCCCATCCATGAGCTCTTATATTCTTTCTGCTTCCTCTTTTGTAAGTTTTTCAAGCCTTGGATGGAAATATATTGATATAGTTATCTCATCCACAGCCTACATTCACAATTTCTTATAGCATTATCTGCACTAATTGTTCCTCTGCAAAAAAAAAAAAAAAAAAAAAAATCCTCTTTAACCAAAGTCAAGAGCAGCACAGACTTATGGTTCTAGAACAAACAAATGTTTAAAAGGCAGTTCATCAGATTGACCATTTAGCAAATCAACAACAGTAGGATCATCTGAAGGACCTATGTTCTCCCCACCTCCTGGCTTTTGGTCACCTTTAGTACCAGGTATGACCTCTGTCCTGTAGAGCAGCCTTCTATGATATCAGGAAGCCATTGGTTATCTCTGTAGCAATCATACCATTATTGTACATGTGCACCAGATTTTTCTGGATGGTCAATTTTGTAGCATGCAGGGTATAGCACTGAGTAGGACAATTGATGCCTTTTCATTCCCAGCAGCCTACATAGCTCCTTCTGTGAGTTTCCCAGTCAGCTGGAAATTGATTTCTTTGTCTTTTCTGATTGCAAAGTGAGTGTACTCTTCACCAATAGGGTCTTACAATCTAGTTATGCTGAGCATCAAAAGACAATGGAAATAGCCTATATTGTTTGGGGTGCCTCTGGGGCCTCACTGCTAAATAATTCACAGTGAAATGTCTTGGGCCAGACACTGAAATTTTCATTTAATGGCCCATGTCTTCTGGGAGCAGCATTGTCCATTCATGAACGGTTTGTCTGTTCAAACTCCCCTCAGTTATGGTAAAATATGTCACATGAAAGTTACCACATAAATAGTTTTTAATTCTATATCCATGAGTATGCCCACAGCATTGTGAAATTCTCACCTCCTTCCATTTTCGGAACTTTTTTATTTCTTCCAAATAAAAGACTATAGTAGTCACCCAGTCTTCTTTGATCTACCCTATAACTGCTTTGTAATTCTAGAAGTCAGAT